TGTTATGATCATTATCTGCATATACTCCGGGTACGGTGCTTTGACACTATTATAGTCTGAATGATCATTCTCTGGTTCTACGTGAATTTTGTCAAAAATCCATCTACGTGCGAAGGTATGAATCCACATTTCGAATTATCATATTTGAAAATGAAATGGATCGATGATATCTATTGAGTTTCAAACTCATGGGTTAATTTTCTTCCTACAGATTGATTTGACTTGCTTGGGGTGTGGATGATGGTAGATAGAGATGCAACATGTCATAGAGAAGCCTGTGATTTAATGTTTTAAATTTGGTTATGAAATGTTTATGTTTTCTTTTGAATAGATTTCTATGGACGTAGTATGTGGAACTATATTCTACGGACATTTTGTTATGAATAAGTTATGTTTAAAAGTAGATATGTATTCTAGAAATTAACTTATGAAACACCGTTTACAAAAAAGAAAGAAAAAGAAAAAGTGTTAACGATTTAATGTTGCTATTTTCTTTGAAATTCCAGCTTCTGCCTTGATTTTAAAAATTTATAATTCAATCATTACTTGAAATTTTTGGAAGAAACCAAGGATTTGATAATCTCGTGGATTAGCTACCGAATAAAGTTGAAATCGTGTCATTTTGATGTCTGTAGAATTTTATATATCATTTTAAGTGAACTGCACTGATTTGCCTTTCAACCGAGTTGCTGCGAGTTTTTGAAAAATATTTTAAAAAAATATTTAAATCACTCAAATCTAGCCGACAGAAGTCAATTTTGGATATATCATTGTATAAGGAGTTTCCTACTTTACATGAAAATTTCATGAATTTTCGAAGTCGATGGCTATGCAAATAAATTTCGTTTGACTATTGCCGCTTGAGATATAATGCAAGACAACAATATTTGCTTTTATTTCCTGCTTTTAATGTTCACATTAACAATAGATAAATGCATGGAAATCATTCTAAAGACGTCTTTGAAATTATTTATTTTAGTATTAAATTATGTCATTTAAAAAATATATAAATATACAATACTTAAATAAATTCTTAAATTAAATCTTTATACTTTCCGCTAAAAGTATAGTTAATTATTAAGTTTATGGCTATAGTGACATTTCGATCCGTACAGATCGGGGCGATACATCTATTAACTTGATTTTATTTGTTAGTCAATAGCTCCTGTAATATAAAATTATTTGGTTATTTTAATTCTTGTAATTTAAGTAGGCCCAAAGTTCAGATAATTTCTTTTAAAAAAAAATTCATTTGGACTAAAAGTCCAAACTGACTAATCAAACCAAACTGATCCAAATCAAATCGATTTGATCGGTTTGGTTTGGTTCGGTTTAAGAGTTAGCGTGGGTTGGTTGGGTTTGAAATTCATCCAAACCAACTAATTTGGTTTTGGTTTCGATTTCGAGTTGGAGTTGAAATTGACTCAAACCAAATCGCAACCATACCTAGATTTTGACTCCAATCAAATCGTACCCAAGCTTATATGAAGGCCATCACAAGTCGCACACCAAATTGGTGTAATTTGGTGCAAAAAAATGAGTTAAATGTTTCGATAGCCACTGAACTTTGCATCATGTTTCGACTTACTCACCGAACTTCCAAACTTGTCTCGTTGGCCACTAAACTTCACTCTATCCAACTCCATTACTCACCGGATGAAATCCGTTAGCATATGAAATGATGTGGTAGATGGAAAAAACCATGTGGCTAGTTAAATAAATACAAGTTGTAAGGGTTACCTAACTCAGCTTCCATGTTGGCTCCACATCATTTAACTCCTTTACTCACACTACTTTAAAAATTGAAAACTCATTTAATTGGTACCACCCCAAATCGATTGGAGTCTAGAGCCTTAACTCCTCTGTGCTAAGAACTCTCCCAATCCAAAAATTAATCACTCCTAGAACGACGAAGAAACCCAAAATCAGAAGTAATCTCTTGTTTGTTGGAACAGATGACATGTTGTGAAGGTAAAAATTTCATCTTTCTTGATACCAATTTGAGCTTGAGCGATAAAGTGACATGGTGCGACATGGAATAGTGGTGCGAGGGAAAATTTTAGGGAAAAATACTTCTTTCTTCCGTCTACCAATTTCACCTTGTTTTACTCTTCTTCCATTTCCATTTTTGTTGTTTGCTTACATAAATTGAGATGAATATGAATTTATCTGCCAAACAATGTTTTTTATTTTTTCTCAGTTAAATGGAGACAAATATGAATTTAGGAAATTTGGTATACTGTATCTATCTTCACAAAGCCCATGCCTATCTTCATTTTGTTACAGTATTCACTTCAATTGATTCATAATGTTGTAAAAATAGAAATATATATCCTACAACCATATGCTGCATAATTCGATAAGGGTTGGATTATTTTGTTATACTATTTGTTTAGGAAATGCTAGTAGTTAAAATGTTCATGGCAAGTTTATGTAATGTCTGTGTATTTTGAATATTCCTGGAAAAAACTTAATTTGTAGAAATTGCAGTAAGTGTTGTTTAATTTTCTCCTGTTTGTCATTTTTCTCCTCACATGGTTTGAAGCATATTACAATGAGAGGAAGGAACAAAGGGATGTGTCATGATTGCTAGAAGGTGGGCCACTACTTGTTGGATTGCTCGACGAAAAAAGCATGTCCAGTATACATCAAAGGAATTCAAAAATGCATGGAGGTTGAAAAGAGGATTGGAAACTTAGGACAGCTATTCTTTTGCTATACTAACGATTGAAATTATTTCAAGTGGCTTGACGAGGACGAATGTTGTGAATATGAGGGTCAATCAAGCGATAGATCAGAAATTTATAAGTTGTCAAGTTTGTTGATGCACATGGCTAAAATAACCGAAGAAAATGAGTGGATATCTCAGTCAAATTTACTTTTCGCAAGGGAAAATGAGAGACAAATAACGAGAAACAAAATGGAAGAGCTCCGTGAAACTGAACCATTTATGTTAATTTCCAGCTGGTGTTGTTCACCAGTTTAATAATCTTTATGTAGACATTGAACTTGTAATTGTAGAACAACCCCAGTAATTTGAAATTTTCGCTAGTGATTTCAATGATTCTATGTCTCAAACTTTATGGAAATTATGTCATTTGTATATCAATTTCGTTCTTGAAATACATGTTTGCAAGTATTCTTTTAGTTACATGTTGCAATTGTTGGCTATTAGCTGTCATGGTATTCAAGCTATCTGAACTTCAAGTTCTTGTTTGGCCTTTGTATTCAAGCTGTATAGAACATATATATACATACTAGATGCAATCAAGTTCATCAGTTCCAACTAGTTGCTGAATGCATATAACTGTATTGTTACCCCTAATCACTATGGAATTCGTTTCCAATGATGATGAGAGAAAAATTCTCTTTTCAAGCTTGAACATCATGGCACTATAATTGTTCGCCTCACTTAACTTTGATTTGGTGACTAACGTGAACATCAACTAGAATACAATTTACTCATTTCCATCAATGTTAATTTCCAATAGCCTGCATGTTCGGACATTATGAGCCAGGTGCGGAGCTAGCACCCAATGAGAGGCACGGCCGCACGTGCTGGCTCTACCAAGATCTTCAAAACCACAGGTTAGCGCCTGTTGCAGAAGCTCCGGAGTCTCTGTCTCTGCCTCTTTGGAGAAGGAATGAAGACGAAGATAAGAGGGCCATTTTTATTTTTTTTTTATTTTTTTTTTGTAGGGCTTCAAATTTTAGGCCTCTTATTGTTAGCCCAATTGTTAAATGAAAATAATCCAATTCATCAAAATCTAATTAGCCAATAAAATTGAATCAAATGGAAAGCTGAAACTGGAAGAGGGAAGCCAAATTGCAAAAACTCTTTTCCAATTTCTTCAATTCTTCATTCATCGCTGTTTGCCCGTGCTTTGCACTGGCTGTACAAGAGACACGATGATGCCGGACTATCTGTTCGCCCATGGATATGGTCGATTTTTATATTCTTGTATTGTCTATCTTTGTGTATTTGTTTAATGGGTTAATTAGTTTGGTGCTTAAATAATGTAAAATTTCCCTTGGAAATTTGGATTTAAGGATTTTTTTCTGGTGAGTCCCGATTCTATCACGTGCAATTATAAGTTCACCAAATTATTTTCAGTGTCTATTATGCATTTAATTAGAAATGGATTTCCTGCCTAGATTTGTATTATGTATTGAATTAGCAAGTACAGTGGTTTGTATTAGTTTTGGTTTAACACTTCCTCTTTTGACTTGTTCTGCCCAGATTTGTTCACTGTAATGAACGAGAAAAGAGGTCTGTACCTACACACGAGAGTGACGAGACACTTCTTCCTTCGTCGGTTCGCCCCTGTGCCTGTTTCTATATGCTAAGTGCTAACTGCTAAATTGACAAATTTAATTTTATCGCATTGTAATTTGTTGTGCTAACTTCTCAACACCATGTTTTAAGGGTATCAATTTGGCATGAAATTGGTATCCCTCCATAGACATTGATAGAGTGTCTATATTTGGAGCAGAATCGCAAAATTCTTGGTCTACTTGGCTAGCAAGTTCTCTTGTTGGAGCCAATATTAATGCCAAAAGATTCCTTCCTCAGGTCAATGACTTAATGTTAAATATGTTATGATTTATTCATTTGGGAATTAAAATATTTCGAATTGTGATTTATGAATTATGATAAGTAATTTACGTTTTATGAGTTATGATTAATGATTTGGGAATTTATGTTTACGAAATTATGTTTGCGAATTGTGATTTATGATAAGTAATTTATGTTTTGTAATTAAAAAATAAATTACGGTATTTTGCAGATTATGGAACGATTTTTTCAACCAAAATAAAAGTTCATACCCATTTCTTCTACTTCTAGTAGTGTATCTAGTCCCGCCACTGATTCTAGTCGAGCACAAGAGTTATTGAATAACACAAAGAAGTCCCACGCTCAATTCAATGTGGATGATCTTGTATCTGATCCAGGAATATGCCTCCTATCAAGTCATATGATCCTAACATCAGAGATAATGTTAGGATGGTGTACTTAGAGAAGGGTTCTTGTCAACCATATGAACATGATTTTCCAAGAAGATCAATGAGAAATGATAATAGATGTCTTCAGAAAGAATGGTTCTCCGAATTTTATTGGTTTGAATATAGTATAGAAAAGGATGCGATGTACTATTTGCATTGCTACTTGCTCAAACTCGATAGAGGGGGTCAAGGAGGTGGACATAGATTTACTAAGAACGGCTTTAGGGATTGGAAGCACAAAAAGACATTGAAAGTTCATGTCGGTCTTTTTGATAGTGATCATAATCAAGCTTTTGCAAAGTGTACCAACTTGATGAGTCAAAAGCAAAGTATTTCCTATGTTATTTCTAGCTAAAGTAGTTTTCAACAACAAAGTTATAGGACTAGGTTGATTCAATGCTAGATTGTACTAGACTCCTCTTGATGCAAGGATTGTCATTTCGTGGCCATGATTAATCGAAAGACTCCTTAATAGAGGAAATCTAATGGAGTTACTAAACTAGTATGCAGTCCGTTGTAAGAAAATCAAAGAAGTATTATTTAGTAATGCTCCTGGAAATGACCAAATGACTTTACCAACCATCCAAAAGGACTTGATTAATTGTTGTGTCGTAGAGACGACAAGGCCTATTATTAATGAGATAGGTGATTATTTGTTTTCAATTTTGGTCGACGAGGCTCGTAATAATTCTATGAAAGGACGTATGGCAGTTGTTTTGAGGATTGTTGACAAAATGGGCAAGTGAATGAGCCTTTTGGGTATATCCCATGATAAGAGTGTAAAATATAATTTTTGCTCCTCTTAATTATTGCATTGGTGTGATTATTCGATATCAAAATGCACTCATTATACTTATACTTTGATTCAGGTTGCATTTTGGTAGAAAATGTGAAATTTAGAAGAAAAGAGCGAAAAAATGACCAAAATAGAAGAAAGTGAAAGTTTAGGGACGAATTTGCAAATAATCTAAATATGAGACGGGCGATGGAATGATGATTCGAGAAAGCTAGAAGTCTATTGGGTGCAATTAGAAGTCAAAAGAAGTTAAATATGACCATAACATATTCACAAATTAAATTCCAACCGCATAAAGATTTTCCAAATTTTCAACTCAAGATTGAAGTCCACTTTTGACCCAGTAAACATCAGAATTTGAAAAATCTATTTCAAGAAAATTTTATTCCTTTGCATTAGCTTTCCAACACACTTTGAATTGCCTTAATTGGACATCGGGAGAGAAAAGTTATGGTCAAAATACTGAAAGTGGTCGCACATAATATTCTAGCCGAAAATTTAGTTTCCTTATTCGGTTCAACCTCTTTTGAAAACAACTTGGCACATGGTTTTAAGCCCTAGACTGGACAGAGAATGCCACTCTTCATCCTGAAATCAATTTCTGGATAGAGAACACCTCTCTTCATCCTCACATCAATTTTCTTTGGTTTTTGGCTCAAGAGTTCCATGAAGAACTAAAACCCTCGGTGAAGCTTGGAAGGAACTCATTGGATTTTGGGAAATCACATCAATTGCTCATGTAATTTAGTATTTTATTGTCAAACAATTCTAGATTTTAGACTTTCTCATTATAAATTTATTTTGAAATTGGTTTAATTTTTATTAGATCTTTCATAGATTCAATCATGTTTTTTCTATTGTTTGATTGAAATATTTATTGAGTTGCAATTTCATTCATGTTATTAGTGGGTTATTTATGATCTTATGCTTGAAATATATGGTTACTTTTGATCTTACTCCAATAAAAATTGTGAGAATGTGTTAGAAATTCTAAATTTTAGAATTACGATAGGAACTAAAGTGATCTTTAATGTTAGATTTTCCGATTAGAGAGTTGAGAAGAAAACCTCTAATTGAGTAGTAATACATGAATTGTTGATGTTGATCGATCCAACCCAATTGAGGGAATTCCAATGCTTCACTAATTTTACATATTGATATTTAAATTTCATTTCAAATGGATAAACTAGTTTCAAATAATTCCTGAAACCACTAAGCTTCTGATCATTTGAGCATTTCCCATCTCCTTGTGGATCAACGTCCCAAGGCTATACTACAATCACCGTGTTATACTTTGGGCTTAATCATCCCATGTCACTGATACTTGTGTCCAATCACTAAAGGATGACACTGATGCAATGTTTCTATACATGGCTTGAGCATATCTAGCCTGAGAGGTCAATGTTATGATGGAGCAAGTAATATGTCGGGTGAGTTCAATGGGTTGAAAGCTTTAATTCTAAGAGAAAGCCTACATGCTATGTATGTTCATTACTTTGCTCACCAGTTTCAGTTGGCAATTGTATATGTGGCACGTAGGAATTGTATGCTTGGTGATTTTTTTGACATACTTGCTATTATTGTGAATTTGGTTGGTGCATAATGTGAGCGTGTAGATGCTATTCGAACAAGTTATCAAGCTAATATTCTGGAGAAGTTTAATATTGGGAAACTTACTGGTGGAAGTGGTCAATTTCAAGAAATGAGTTTGGCATGCCCAGGTGATACTAGGTGGGGCTCACATCTACTGATAATTACTCGTTTCACTAATATGTTTAATGCTATCATAGATGTTCTTGAAAATATATCAGAAGATGGCATACATTCAGATAAAAAATCTACGGCTGTAAGACAGATGAACGCTATGCAAAATTTTGAGTTTGTGCTCAGTCTCTACTTTATGTTTAAAATTCTTTCAATTACAGACGACCGTTCACAAGCCTTACAGAAAAAGGATCAAGATATTCAGAATGCTACGAGGTTAATGAATTTGTGTAAGTGTGCATTGCACAACCAGAGAGAGAATGGTTGGGATACTTTACTTTGTAGGATGATTGAGTTTTGTGTTGATGGACATATTTTAGTGCCCAATATGGAAGATATTTTAGTAGTGAAAGGTCGACCTAGGCGTATAGCTCAGCAGGTGACTTATTTTCATCGCTTTTATGTTGATTTGTATCGTTAAGATAGACTCAACCTTGCAAGAGTTGACTGATCTTTTTCCAGAAACAACTACTGAGCTCTTTACTTACATTTCATGTTTAACTCCAAAAGATTCATTTGTAGCTTCTGATAAGGATAAATTGCTACGTCTTGCTCAGTTCTATTCTTTGGACTTCAATAGTAAAGATCTTTTATTACTTAGACCTCAACTTGATAAGTTTCTTTTGCTTGTGAGAATGGATGAAGCTTTCTTTAATCTCAATAGCATACCTTGTATAGTTCAGAAGTTGGTTGAAACTAGAAGTTCCTGTTATTTTCCATTGGTTTATAGGTTGCTTACCTTGGCTTTGATATTACCTATGGCAACTGCAAGTGTTGAAAGGGTATTTTTTGCTATGAATCTAATTAAAAGTGATTTGCGGAACAAAATGGGAGATGACTGGTTGAATGACAATTTGGTAGTTTATGTAGAGAAAGCTATTTTTAAAAAACTTGAGAATGAGGCAATATTGCAAGGATTTCAAATCATAAGACCCTGTAGAATGCAGTTGTCTAAGTTTACAGTTATAGAGTAACTAAGTAAGGTTGTATCGTATTTTTTTACTATTTTGGATTGTATTGAAGTATATTTTCATATGTATACGATTTTAATATTTTATTTGATTTTCATATATATTGAATAACTTTTAGTATTATGTAACCAAATTTTATTAAACGATCGGACTATTATGATCGTCGATGATCAACAATCAACGATCAACCTGCCCTAGTTCGATCGTCAACGGTCAACCCACCCTAGCTGGACTTATATCTTGGATTCGTCGTTGTTATGAACTGCCACTCTCTGTTAATTTCCATCAATGTCTCCATTAGGATTTTTAACTTTCGCTATTTTCATGTCAACCTCAAGTTTGGACTGAGATTTATCTAAGCTAAACAATATTTCATAAATTCTATACCGTTTCAAGCTATGTTTGGTGAGGGAAATGGTAGAGAGGAGCTTTATTTCGAAAGGTGGACCTCATTTCAAAGAGTAATATTGTGATACCTGATAAGAAGCATATTGTAGGCAACAAAGTAATGCAAAATAATTATTTCACTAACTAGTAAATTAGTGAAAGCAACTGAGATAGAATACATTATTTAAACATTCATACATTCTCTCGTCCATACCAAAATTATATGCGAGACATCCTTATGGACAATGGTGATTATATTTCCCATATCATATCTCAGAAATATTTCTTTTGGCCATTAATATGTTATCAATAACCATACCCAAGCTGTCATACATGGCAACAGGTATACAATGTACATGTCAACAACATTTACATTGGACAACATTAGAATTCAAAAGCTACTCCAAGAAACCAGAGGTCAGTCGACTGTAAACACTTGGCTATTTCATCTTGCCTGGCACATGCTTGCTTCACTGCAACAATAGGATGCGAACAAGTTAGAATACATTTTTTAATAAGATATTATTATCACTATACTAAACCCCTTACCGTATGTTAGATTCGATTGAAAATGCAAAAGGCTTAACAACTCCCACCACGGCTTGTATCAAAAACCAAAAACACTGACTTTAAATATGTGTTCCTCCTTATACACTTCAATATGTATGGCTTCTTTTTCGTGGCATCGCGCTCTAGTACTAGCAAATTTCGCATCCCCCAAGTCAACCATGTCATCTACGACATCTTCGAAGTTCACATCGTCGGTTGGAATACGAATAGAATCTGGTTGAGCAAAAACCATTGTTGCAGCACCAGATTTTAGGCCACCTGAGTACGGTTCACAATACAACGTCGAGGTTGGAATGAAGTGGAATGTTTGCTCGTTCCCATGACTATGGTCCGATGATGCTCGTTGTCCTCCCTTTGGAACCATTTTCCCTACTAATGCAATCATTAACCTTATCAAAATGCTCATGCAATCCACAAAATATCACAACAGACATTGAGAAAAATAATTCAAAAGGAGTACTAACTCAATCATCGACTGCTCTATCGCATTGTGTGATAACCGGTTCTATATTACCGTCAAACCAATTCTGTCCACGAAAAGTGAAAGTTAGATACATTCTTCGAATTATCACCTGAAAGAAAGCAACATCGTACTAACAGAATCTAGAGCATCCGGCCTGGAATGGTATCGCTTGTTGTGACCCCGCTCTCTGCATACTGAGCATATCATCTTCAGACGTCCTTTTCTCTGAATATAGTTATTCTTTCCTGAATGCACGATGACGTCTTCATCCGCTCCTTTTCTCCAATTTATTTGTCTCTTTTCTTTTCGCGACATAACCCACGACGGTAGAGTGATATTAAGCATATCCAACTGTGGCCATAAATGCATACCATTGATCGGATGCATGATACTATTGTAGCACTGCATATACATCTCAATCGTGTAGCAGTTTTGGATGAAGTCTTCTGGATCATTTCTGCAATCCCTTTTATCACTATTACTGCATGCATGCAAGGTATGCCTATAAGCTGCCACTCTATGCATGCACAGGTTCTTCCATGTAGATCGACAACATAAGTTCCGAAGTTGCATTCAACTTGCCATTTAGGACCACCTGAAAGGTGCAATGTACATTCACGCGATTTCTCAATTTTCTTGAGCAATTTTTTCTTGATCTTCAAACCTAAGCGTCCTGTGTATCTCATCATCTTCTCTCCACTCTTTTGAATCATATTCATGAAGGTTAGTTCCATAAGCCATAGGTATGCCTCCTCACTTAGTTGATGGATTTGTTGCATCCAATGTTAGTAGTCAGCAACAGTGGTCGACTTGGTAGTACGCCATAAATAATTCTTAAGAATTTTACTCTTAAACCCAGCATTAAAGAAGTTCGTGTACTTATGTCGTACATCGAACCTGTGCTCGGCCACAGGGAATAACTCATCTGTCACATTTTGTAGCCCTTTATGTCTGTCCATCATTAGAGTACAAACCCTTCCATCTCCAATACTAATATCCTCAGAAAGATATGTCAAAAACCATCGCCAAGATGTAGCATTTTCTTTCTGAACAACTACATATGCAACGAGATAAATGCTATCATTAGCGTCAATACCAACTGCAGTTAATATTACCCCTCCAAAAGAAACTTAAGTGACGCCGTCAACATCTACTACCTTCCTACAACCATCTCGAAAACCTATCTTACAAAAATTGAATCATATGTAAATCCCCTTAAATATTTGCTCCTATAATGCAATTATGACTGTGGACCCAAAATTTTTTCGTAGTACCTCAGCTGCATAAGAAAGCAATTGCCTAAATTGCTCTTGTAAATTTCCTACTAAAATTTCTTTAACATATCTCCGCATTTTTCATGCCACATTTCTGCTAATGTCTGTGCAGAGATCCTTCTCCATTGTTGCCAAAATTAACTCGGTCTTCCAGTTCGGGTCAGCCTTGAATTGCTTTATATATCGACGGGTGAAGAATATGTAATTGCAGTGTCTATGAAATTGTTGGTAGCCCAATTTACAAATTCCTTGCACTCCTTTCATCATTTGCCTTAAACTTTACATTGTACCCGTTTAGTGCACCGTACATTTGCACCACCTCTAGGAACTTTGATGCAGAACTGAATATTTGACCTACCTCGAACTGAAGATTTCTCGTCTCTTGATCAAAATTGAATTTAGGAAACTGATAACCACCATCATCGTTAGATGAACATTGGAAAAGTAGTTCATCTGACGACAGCAGTTCCAATTCATTCGCCTCGATATCGTTGCACTCTTTCTGGTTGGGATGAACTTCATCCTGTCGATGATCCAGTCCAATTTCAATCCCCTCAATTACATTTCTATCAAATTTGATGTCATTTTGTTCGGACTTAAAGTCGTGGTCAGAGTCAATGAAGTCTGGATCTTCCTCACAATCTGTTACACAATTAAACCACATTCAGCAAGAATAAGTGCAAATAGTCAAAATTTAAGCCCATATTAAATTCATGTAATGTATTTCTTTCGCATCACAAATATGAAAGGAAAAAAATAAAGATAAAGATAATGTTTATAACAAAATGGGATTAAGCTATGCCAACATGTTCAGCCCACTTAAATGGGACATTTTCATGTAATTAATTAAACATACATATTATTAGAGGACGGACAAAATATAAGACAAACTATGACAAATGGAACAACAAACCGTGGCCATTGCGACACATCTTAGCCTGGAATGAAGGCCTTTCAGTTTTTGCTTTTTCCTTCTTCTTTTTTTTCCAAAATTTGGAGGCAAATTATTACCATGATTCCAATATTAATTTTTCGAATGCAGTCTCGAGAATTGCATATATATATTCAGCATGTTAATGAGCTCTTCCATTGCCTAAAACATAAAACCCAAAAAATCAAAGATTACCTTCATGTCAGTCCATGTAAGCGCCAACAAGTATGCCGTCAAAGTACTGAAATGAGAAGGGTGCTACTTTTTCCCACAAGTATTTAGGTCATTGAGTTGTTAAAATTGGTTGGATGGTTGATTTTCTGGATTTGGGGCTTAGGGTTTTCTTCACTTTGTTCTATAGTTCGTGTTTCTTGGAGAAGGAAGCAATTGGGTCAATTAAATGAAAGCGTCCTTCAATACGGGTTCTCAAAGGTGTGTTTGGGTATGCTGAGTTGGATCTGGCTTTTCAATGAGATTCATATTTGGAAGAATTTAACTGACCACACGGTTTTTCCATCTACCACGTCATTTTGTATGCGAACGGATTTCAACCGATTAGTAATGAAGTTGGATGGAATGAAGTTCAGTGGTTAACGAGACAAGATTGAAAGTTTGATCAATAAGATGCAAAGTTCAGCGGCGAGAACATTTAACTCGCAAAAAAATTGTGGTATTATAAATGACAAAAGCTGAGCAGTCAGACAAATATTCACACACCGACCCGCTGGCAAACGCGTTAAGGCTCGGGATCCGGTCTAGGGTTCATCAATTTCAAAATTTATTACAGCTCTTCTAAAATAAGTGAACGAAATTATTTTCGCTTCTTTTAATTGATTTTCTTTACGTAATACTGAGGCTTTGTGTTAGGTGGGGTTTGTCAGAAGGATTCTTTAGGAATTGATTAAGGATTTTATCGAAGGATTGCTGGAAAAGCGAGGATTTACTTGAATATATTTGAGAAATTTTGGGGGAAAAGTAAAACAAATGCCGGAAGAAGACTTGGCGGAGATCAAATTTAGATTGTATGATGGATCAGATATTGGCCCCTTTCGGTATTTGCCGGCCGCCACCATCGCCATGCTGAAGGAGAGAGTTGTCACCGAGTGGCCCAAAGGTTGGGTTTTTTTTTTTTTTGGCTGCTATTTTTTATATTTAATTTTGTTTTTCTTAATTGAGGATGTATATCGAGCTTTTCATGGAATTTGAAACTTTTTGATTGGAATAAAACGTGCTATATGTAATTGCGAAACTATGGTTCGTCTCATTAGATTATTGACTCTTCTTGTGTGTGATTAATGAGGAAGTGTAGTATGGCCTAGGATCTTGAACTATCATTTGGTCGATTCTGTCTCTCTTCCCTTTGATATGGAGATCGATTTTGAAAAAACTACATGAATATTGTATTGGGATGCTTAAACAGAATCTTCCTCCTAGTTATAGTATTGTCTTGATCTAAGTCGACATGGAAAGGTTAATCAATATGTGCACTGTGCAAGAGAGTAAATTGTACCTTGATAAAAATTTTGTAGTTATGTGGTAAAATGTTATATAATTACAAAAGAGAGATAGAGAAAGGGTTGAAACATGAAAAATAAAGATTGGAAAAGAGAGCAGGTTTTCATATCTGATAGTGCTTGCTCCACAAATTGGAACAGTCAATTTAGTTTCGTCTTCCTTGCAAATATACGTCATGCCATGCAGAATTTATTATAATAAACTAAGATCGTAACTTGAGGTATATTTGTTGCTTGAACTCTTGTCTTAGACTGCTTATTATCAGCTTTTCTTAAATGCTTCTTACCATTTGTTGTTTTTGATTGGACAAAATTGTTCTTTTTGTTTTAGATAAGAAAATTGCACCAAAGTCTGCAAATGATGTGAAATTGATTAGTGCTGGTAAAATTTTGGAAAATAGTAAGACTGTTGGCCAATGCAATATGCCTTTTGGGGAGCTACCTAAAGGTGTTATCACTATGCATGCTGTTGTACAACTGTCCTTGGCTAAAGCAAAAACAGGTAGTCTCTGAACTTGAACTTCTTGGTTGATTATATTGCTTCGTGCTTCCCTTCTTTTCTGTTCCTTGTATAGGAAGCTCCTACTTGTATGATATGTAATAAAAGCTAGTTACGTCCTTATTTTTGAAATCCTGCTACTTGCAGTAGTAAGTTCCACCCATTCCAAAATTTTCATGTTGTTCGCCCTCCAATCTAATTGTGTATAGGGATGTTAATGGATCGAGCCAAACTGGCTCGGCTTGCCCACAGTTGGGCTCGGCTATGCCCATCGGGCAAGCCTACTAACGTTCCCTTTTAAAGCGAGTCGAGCATGAGTTGGCTCATTTAAAAAAATTTCGGCTTAGCTCGTCCTGCCAACTCGCGCTTCGGTGCACGAGCATCGCATATGTTCCCTCCTTTTTTTTTTGGGAAAAAAGTGAAAAATACATTTTTGTTCCCGAAAATTGATGAAGTAAATTTGTATCAAATTAAAAAATTCTTTTGTCAAAGTGTATACAATTACAAAAATGTTCATTTATCTGGGCTTGAGATGGACTAAGCGATATGTAGATAAAGCTAAGTTATGTGACTAAATATTTCCCACACATTTTAAAAAAATAAAAAAAATAAAAAAAATTATGAAATGGTAATGTATGGTAGTATAGCTACAACTTACAGTCTTGTATCTTAAACAATTCGTGAAAATTATAATTACTGGAAATCATAAACAATTTCATTAGCCTTTGTATATGATATTTGATAGTTTGCATCTTGTCATTTCTTCAAGCACATTATATATATCTGTTTTCAATCTTCTTCTTTCAACCTACATATTTCGTCAAACAAAACCTTATCCTTACACTAAACGTAGCTTTCGATGCTTCAGCTGACGCTGAATGTGTTAGTAGATCATGTTCTATCAAATATAATATCATATTTTGTTTTTTATTTATCTGAGAAGATCAATTTTTTTATTCTCCTTTATTTAACACATTAATAATGTGGTATGAAAAATATCTTAACTCAAAACGGATTTCGTTTTTTCTGGTACTAGAACTAGAAGAAAAATGAAAAGGTGAACTTCCTTACTTATATAGGTCCATACAATATCATCTACAAATGACTAATTGTAGAAGGAATTGGTGGTGGATCATTGTTCTTACTTTATTTGGCATCATAATGGGAATATGAATTTCACTAAGGCCATGTTTGATAGGGGCCAATTTCATGGAAAATGGAATTCAAATTTCATTTTTCACCCATTTTGTAGTGTTTGATACCCTATTTTTTCCATGGAATTTGGATTCTTGCTTTTCTTGGAAATTGTATTTTTCATGGTTTTGTGAGAAAATCAATTCCCACCTATGTGGTGGGAATTGATTTTCCGGGCACTGTTCATAATTTTTATTTTCTATTTTTTTGTGTTTTTTTTATTATTATTATTTTGACAATGGAAATAAATTCTAAGAATTATTGTAAAAAAATATTTTACTTTAATTGACAATTTTCATGTAAAACAAAGTCAAACGAATACTAAAAGATAGATGACTTTCTTATTATTATTTTTTTTTGTTGGCAATGGAAACAAATTTCATTCCCAATACCAGTAAAATCTATCCCTTTAATTGACAATTTTCATGTAAAATAAAGCCAAACAAACACTAAAAAACACTTTTATTTTAACATTTTCTATGTGGAAAATTATATCAATCAAACACAATAATTTACCATTCCTAGAAAAACAATTTCTAGGCAATTCAATTCTCTAGAATTCGTTTTCAATTCAATTTCATTTTTACAATCAAATGGACTCTAAGTGCTTTCTATATCACATTGTGTTATGGTACATCAAGCACTTGTTTGAGCCCCATTTTTTTGCTAAAAATGCATTTTATAATAGTAGATTGATAGAGAATATGTTGTTAAAATAAGGAAAAATTTTAGGCTTTCGTACAATATTATTTTATTAAAGAATGTATAATTGTAAAGAAGAGAGAAAAAATGTATTTTGAAAATAATAGGAATCAAACAATTGCCAGATGTTAAATGCAAAGAAGTTTGTTTAATAATACTTTTACAACATTATAAGTTAATACAAGGGTCTATAATTATAGCTAAAGAGTATAACGTTGGCAAGTGTTATCAATATTTCTAGAATGACATCTCCATAGTTGCAATAAGAGTCATACTTGGTGTACATCCTTCGCATGAGGGGGGCCCACGATTAGCACAGGCCCTTCATGTGAGGGGGCTGTAAGCTAGAAGCAGATTAACCCTTGCTTTAATGTCGTCAAAAAATGAATAATCTCTATATGTTCCAAAATTTTAACAGTATTAAAAAATGAGCTTGAACAATAAGAGCAGTGGTATAGTAGATACTCGCGCATGCATTGGTCGCATAAATGAAAACCTTCAAAATTTTCATGATCTCAAAAGAAATAAGCCAAACATTAGAGTTTAAATTAAATTTGGAATCATTTTAGTGAATACAATTTAAAAAAATTGTAGTAAGTGAATTATAAATTATGCAAGATTTTTTATGGGAGTAGGTGCTTGCTAGGGTACTCTTCATGCTTCATTCGAAACTAATGAGTGTCTGGTAAGGGATAAGATCCCTTCCCCCAGGTCATGACTTAACATTTGTTTGAGCCCCATTTTGGGGAAAAAATATATTTTTGAATGGTGATTTTTAAGAATGTGTGGTTTAACAGTAAGAACAAGTTTTCAATTTACGTATAAAATTATTTCATTAGAGAATGTGTGCTTGAAAATGAGTGTTATAAAAATGAATTTTTGAAGAAATGGGGCTCAAACATGGGCTTGGTGCAATTGTATATTTTTTTCTTTTATTTTTTATCTTTATTTTTTATGAGAACAATAAATTGTAATTGTAAATTCTTATAAATTTTTTCTTTTTTTATCCATTTTTTTATGAAAAAGTTTGATTTTTAATTTAATTTTATTAGATGTTATATAAAAAAATAATAATTTATAATTAAATTTAAATATATTGATTTTTTGTTTACTTTTTAAAGGTACATGTTGATAATAGTGATTGATGACAAAATAGAATTTTGAGTTGCAAGCAGTAATTCGATTGATGATGAAGAAAGATAATTCTTGGTTCAGTTTTTCAGTTTTTCACCCTAACGACAGAAAAAAAGAATAATCAAATTCTTTGAACCTGGCTTATAAGATGATTTATCAAAAAATGACTCTGGTTATCAAATGATTGGACAATCGGTATCAATTTACTTCATAAAAATATCTATTGATTATGAGTTCAATACATTTTATTTAGCAGAAAGACGAGTATTCGTTGCTCATTATCAAACAATTACTTATTCACTAACTTCATGTTTTTATTTTTAATCAAAGAATTATGAAATTTTTATATTCTAGGTATTTTTATTATTTATATATTTAATTACGGTGACTTACAATTTTTATTATTTTACAAACATTTCTTATTAGATGGGGGAGGAAAAAGGGAATTGTGGGGATCGAACTACCACCTCCTATATGAGAACTTTACTATTGCAATAGACCGATATGAATTCTAGTCTAAATGAAAGTCTTCAAAAGTCTTATGAATTATAAATCTATAAAAATTTTAAACGAAAGTTTATAAAAGTTTATAAAAGATTTCCATTAATTCCATGCAAATCTTTTAAAAGCCAACAAGTCTTGTTGGGTTTGCAAGCCAAGTTCACGAGTTGGCTTGCACACCAGCCAACAAGCACACATGCGAGCCAGCTCGTGCGCGTTGACAGCCAATGAGCAGCTCACTCGACCAAGTTGTCTGCCCTTATAAATTCTTATACTTAATTTTTATGTGGACAATGCTTGTTTGCTATCAATGATGTTCCAAGGTTTCTAGTTGATCATATATTAAGATCTGCCCAAAATCTTTTTGGTGTGTTGCTGTACATTTTACTTTATCCCTATTCGGTAGGGGTTAAAATCAGATTTTTAGTAAATTTTGATAAAAGTTAATGAAATGTGTTATTGAAAAGTTGTGGGTCCCATCAAATATATAGTTAAAATTAATTGTTAACTTTGACTTAAATTAAAATCTAGATTTTAATCTTTACTAAACATGAACCTTATATACTGGACTGTTAATGTTTTCCTTTTGAGGGGAAGGAAGACCTGCTGTATTCAACTTCTATGTGTCGTTTCTTGCCTTTTTTTGAACAGCACTTCTTTTTGTATTTTCCACGTAGCACTTGAGTTAGTTGTTGGTACCCTACAATATATTGACTGTTTATCTATGTCAGATTTGCTTATTCTTTGGACTGTTGAAAATGAGGTTATTCATGAACAAAAAATTAATTCTTGTATTGTTAATTTATTGTTACCTGCTTTTAACAGAGTTGCTTTTGTTGCTGTGATTAACATCCAGTAGCGCATTGGTCCCAAGAGGCCACCCACCTTAACCAACTTTTTTCTTTTCCTATCAACTATAGCTTCTTAAATCAACTGTTACAGTCCAGGCATAGAAGAAATCTCTTACGACCATCTCTTCAATTGAAATTGAAATTATGTTCAAGAAACTTTATTTTGGCTTATGCTTTCTCATTTCATAAAGAGAAAAAGTTCTGTCAACATAAGATAGTCTGTTTAGACTTGGTTTTCATATATTTAATCTTGAATCTACGAACAAGAGCTGTGTTTTATTTCTTGATAATGATCAATTAGTTTTGGGAATAACTGCTTCTACTTTCCATCAAAGAAGGTTTCAACGTCCTAGATGGGGGTGTGTGTGTGGATGAGTGATACTGAGTTTAATTGATTCCCTTCCACGTGTGATTATTCCATGCCTGTCCTGGACAATGGGGAGTTTTCAAATGTCTTCTGTATATTGACCCTAATTATTGGCTAGAAACTTCTTTAGGTCAAGAAAATGCGTATGCTAGAAGTATTGAGATAGTTAAAATTAAGTGGCAGATGGGATAAAAATTATTTTCGCCATAATCGAATGAGGATTTGTGAGCCTTACAGTGAAACAATTCCTAGGTCAAGGCAGCATATCCCAATTTCATTTTTCAAGCTAATGGGAAGTAGTACGGCAAGTAATGAAAGTTTATCTGGCTAAATGCCCAAAAGTCTCTATATTTGGCTATCCATTTTTTTTTTACCAGAAGCGAGCATGGGGATTAAATATTTGACTGTTTTCGAGGATGATGTACATAAATAAGGTTCTTAAAATCGAGATAGTGACATGATTATCATCGATGGTTTGGAAGAGTTAAGTACAATGATTATATTTCCTATTCATAGAGGAATTTAAAAAAAAATAAAACTTCATATAAATAATGGCCACGACCATTCTGATGACATTTATGCACATGTCCTTCAATATCATGCTTCTACTATGTCCTTTAAGGTTATGAAAATGAGATATATTTTTACATGATAAAGAAATTAATATTCTATAAAATGCTCACGGTCTCGTCTTTTTGTTACATTTTGTATGTCTCTATCAACCACTGTTCGCGTAAGTCTCCATTATCCACAGTCTTGTTTTCCTTGAATGGGCATTCATATGCAGAACGTTTCTGAGTGTGGCATGCTTGGGGAAATCCTTTTTTCCTCGTTCGTAATTGCTTTGGCTAAATTGTGGAGCTTGTATCTAAGGTGGTGTTATTAAAACTAAATACAATTTCATTGTTTTTGTGAGCATTACAGTGAAACAATTCCTAGGCTTGTGATTATATGAAATTCACAGTTACTTTCTCGATGTAGTTGCTGAAAGAAGTTATTTTATTTTTTTCACAGAAAAGAAGGTTGACAAGCTGCCAAAGAAAAGCATTTGTTCATGTTCCATATTGTGAGTATGCAAGTTTGATTCATCTTTTTATCTTGTGGGTAAGGGAATATTTCAATATCTGTACAACGGCATTCGGTGTAATGGTGGCTTGTTATTATGTATATGCATTTTATGAATTTGTTGCTTCGTGTACGATTATAGCTACATCATTTCTATACAAGAATACGGGGTCAATGGACTCGATTCCCTCAAAAAGGATGGGTTATGTATACAGTAGCATGGATTTATGGTCGTGTCAATGTTGACAGGCATGCTATATTCTTTTAGTCGTATTTTAACCTAATCCTGTTTGTGTTGTTATTTTGGGTCTTTGGGATGTTCAGATTTCTACTTTTTTATAACATTGAAGAGATTTGTTGCATAATCGTGATACATAAAGCTACTAAATTTGTTAAAAATTTTATGGATTCATTTCCTCTTATGGATTAGTTAAAAGTAATAAATTCTCAACACGATTTTGTCTCAACTGCAGAAAATGGGAAGATTCTCGTGCATGTCCAAATCTTGTCATTTAATGCCTCGACCAATGTCTGCAATCTACATAAATCCAGTCAGTTGTAAATATGGAACATATCCAAACTCCCAGTTATCTTTATTTTTCTAGAAACATTCTACACATCTCCACCCGCCTATCAAATGCGAACGGCTGGCCCCCTTAATGTACGTGTAGCTCCCCTCATTTTCAGGTAGAGGTGGGCGTTTTATTCGGGAACCGGTGGAACAGGATCGAACCGAACCAAATAGAATCAGTTGGTTCTGTTTCCGTTCTTCAATTAAATGGGTTGATTTTGGGACAATGCATCGAGAACCAATAAGTTCTAGCTTGGTTTCGATTCTCTCAATTTTCTCTTCTTGCTTGCACTAAGATACACTGGGAACTTGTTTGATAGAAGAATCGAAATCGAACTGATTGATTTTATTGGGTCGATTTTGGAACAAAGCATCGAGAATCGATCGGTTCTAATTCGGTCATTGGTATTGCTTTGAGAATCAATAGGGAATTCAGTTCTCCCAATTTTCACTTTTTACTGGCACTAAGATACCATTTTTAAATATTAGACTTCAAAATTATCTCACATTAATATTTCGTTTTCCATATTTTTTACTTTCTTAAATGGGCAATCAAAATTCAAGTCTAAATAATTTTATAAATTCTTTACAATTTCATAACTTTAATGCAACTCAATAGGAAAAATATATTTTTAGTTCAATATTTCATAAGAATTCAAATTATTCGTTGTTTCCAAAGTGACCAGCCATTAAGAATCAAGATATTTGAGGATTACTAGAGTTAATCAAGTTATTATTTTACAAATTGTCTTAAAATTTATTCTGCAATCTAGATTTTACCATTTATGCTTTGTTGAATAATTTATCTTTTTTTTGCTTTTATGAGTTGATCTTGAGCTTTAAATTGAATTTATATTTGTTGCCTTATTCAATTGATTTTTGGCGTTTAGATTCAAAGAATAAAAATTGGTTTCATACTCTATTTTTGTCTTTTTTCAAAAGATAAGTAGTTTTATACTTTATTTATTTTTATAATTTTTCAATATAAAAAACTAGACCAGATCGAATCGGAATCAATTGGTTCGGTTCTGGTTCAATTCGATTCTAGAGTTAGATATGAAACCTATGGCTCCATTTCCAAGATTCTCATTGGTATTCGGTTCGGCTCAATTCCTTTGAGAACCGGACCGAACCAAATCTCGCCCACTCCTAATTATTGGTTCAAGGTCTGGGAGTTTGTATTTTTTTGTTTTTTTTTATAGCCTTAATTATCGATAGACTATCCAAGAAAGATTAATTGGAAAATTTTCGATGGAAATATTTTCACTTGAATTCTAACTTTTGGACCGGTTGATTGCTATTTTTTCTATAAAAATATTTTCAAACATTTGAAAATATGCCTAGTGTTTTTTTTTTTTTTTTTTTGACGAAAACATTTTGTTAAGTAGATTTTTGTTTTTCCTCAAAATAAGGAAAACATATTCTTTTCTAAGAAATATTTTCCACACTAATCGAGCCCACTCAAGTAGTGGGACTTGATTAATAATATGGATATATAAATTCAACTGCGCCCTCTAAGGTAAATGAAAATATTCACCAATTAAACTTCTCCATTCTAACTTGACTTTTGAAGCGAGAGCAGTCCCCCATACTGGTCTGCATCAAGCTCACTAATTGCATCTTATTTTAAACAATTTTTAGTAAGCAAGTTGTGCAGCTGACAAGAAGTTTCGTTATGATTTCTATGTACAGTGACAAGAAAAATATGATCATCCTTTTTTTTTTCTTTGTTTTTTTGTAAATATCGTGTTCAATCCTGTCTAGTAATATATTTGGATATAAACATATTAGCACAATCTTCCAAAGGAAATTCACATGCATTTGTTTGTATGTGCATTGAGAAAAAGGCGTTTCAACTCCTAGCTCAGAACAAGTATTCTCAACAACTGGCACTCATTATCTGCATCACACATGCACAATCCAAATTATATTTCACTTTAAGCAGCTTATGAGTGTCTTCTCTCTGTTTTTTTTCTACAATGGCCTCTTCCATTATTCTCTTTATGTTTTCTTCCTTGTTAACTATCTCATTCCCTTTGCAAGTTGAACCCAAAAAACCCGACTCGAAATCCCAGTCCCAGATCATTGTCATGGGCATGGTATATTGTGACTTCTGCTCCAACAACACCTTCTCCAAGCACAGCTACTTCTTGCCGGGTAAGGAAGATTGAACAGTACTCGTACTTTACCGTATAATAGTTTTATTATAAAATCATAACTCTGTCATTTTTTATTGGATCTAACCAGGAGTAGAAGTTAGAATAGATTGCATATTCATAGCAATTTCTTCAAGAACAACAGAACGGATATCATTTTCGGTGAACAGAACTACAAATAAGTATGGAATATACATATTTGAAGTGCCTAGTGTTGATGGTGTTCAATGTGCCAGAGACAAAGCAGTTGGGAATTCCTGCAGAGCCAGCTTAACAGGGATAAGACCATCTTCTTCTTCCTGTAATATTCCAGGATTTAGGACTACATCGGATGAAATTTCAATCAAATCCAAACGAGAAAACACTTGCATTTATAGTCTCAGTCCATTGAGTTACAGACCATCCAAGAGAGAGATTGACTTGTGTGGAAAATAAGGAACCAACATTCTTGGATCTACACGTCTTGTTCTCATCTCTTTGAGGCAATCATTGAGACATCTACAGGATACTTGAACAATATTAAAGAAGTTAAATATTCTTGTTTGCTGTCTTGTATGGTGGTGTCTAGTAAATCGTTCTATGTTTCTCAAGAATTTATGTAATCTGTATTTGGTTTTTGGCATATGGTTCATTTATATGTACCTCAAGAAAGATTATAAGGGTTTTAATTAGGCAAAATGTATGCAGATAATTTTGGATGCTAAAAATTCCCTAATAATATTAACTGTTAAATAGATGCTAAAAGCACGGATACGGACACGGACACGGACACGTGATACGGTGTGACATGGACCTGTCAACATTCAAAATAGAGGATATGCACTTCGATGAATTACACAGGTTGACTCTGAGTCTTGTAGTGGTACTATTTTTCGCATCCATGCAGTAGTAGTCTCACTCCGTTCAACTATCTTTTGTCAACATATGTCAAGAGTCTAGATATGACCCGTTGCATATTTCTATCCACAAGGTTTACTAGTGTGTAATCATCTGAACGCATCCCTACATTGCACTTGGTGCCAAGGCGTTTTCCCATTTGCAATGCACATCTTCTAATTTACTCGGATGCTCATGCACAATATGCAGTCTTTTTGAAGCATACACACTAGATGCAATCCTTGTGTTCATCACATTCTACGAGCATTTTAGCTTAATGCTTGTTGCCTTGTCCTTTGTCAGAGCCTAGCTCAAGCAAGGTCATTCGTTTATTCATTGCTAATTAGAAGTACCTTTATAGCATATTCGTTCTTGCAATATCTAACATTGCCATATTCCCTCAACTATGCAGTGTCGCACTACAATTGCATTTTTAGCCAACGAACCCATGACAAGGCCAAAATTCATAGTCAATGAACACAAGTTAGCATATGAGACATTTAGTGTGCTTTTCTCATTAGCTCATTCCACCTAGAGCTGTTACTGCATGCTTAATGTAGCTCTTAGAGCACGGCAACGCTCTATTGGTAACATTTGGGCCCCTTATAGTGCTTGCCGAAGGCCACAAAGGCCAATGTCTCTTGATGGATTCTCAACCCCATACAAGAACTTAGGCCTTCCTTAAAGGTGCCTAAAATAGGCCCTTTGTTTCCCTCTGCAGCCCCTAAGAACAGCGCATTTACTGTATAAGGATAGCCTCCCAAATTGCCCTTTTCTAGGGACTGAAGCACAGAGGTTGTTGGTTGATTGCTCACTAGCCATGCTTCCTTATAATAGATTTAGTAGAGAAATCATGATTAGATAATTGGTGTTCCCTACCTCTGAATGACTCTCTATTTTATCAATAGCAAATCTAACATCTTCATTACAAAGTCCACAAAGTTTTACCCTCAACGGATACATGATCCTTAACATATTGCCTTTGCAACAAATCGAAATTATGACAATGTCATTGCCTGATGTTATCACCTTTGATCCCTACGTTTCCTAACCAAACAAACTCAAATTGTCATTTTCCAAGGTGGGAAGCTTCCTAAAACTTGTTGAAAGTTGGCTGAATTTTAGTAATAATTGTTTACAGCCATATTTTAAACTCTTAATTTAGAATCTGTGTCTGAATTCGATAAAACCCAACCGTCAATAGATACCAGCTCATCTTTTATCCAAGTATATTAGCTGCACACTTGGACAGTCACATTAAACTACACAGATTGTAACTCTGGTGGGGTTCAAAGGTCACATGCACCATTTCCATTTCATTTCTAGCCCATTTCTGCACCAAAAGTTCATTTTGGTTCCTAGAGTTCATTGCATCCGTGCATTTAGAAGGAGGGCATCATCTGTACTTGTGGAAAGCAGATATTCAGGAAATAATTTTAGATTCGATAAGTCACCTAGTAGTGGAGTGTATCTCCATAAGTAATTACACTTATAGGAAGGGACTGAGCCTATAATCTGAACTTCCAACTTAAGGACAGAGAATAGCCGTGGATCAGCTGTTGGCATGTTGAAATTTGAAGACATTGTTATGATTATTGTCTCGCATAACAAGCATGCTAATAATTAGAAAATCGAGTATCTAGAAGAGCAATCCTAGATGCCACATAGAGTCCTTTCCTCCCATGGATGGTAAGAGTAATTCTTGTTGGAGACGACTTATAGAAACGAGCTATGTGGAGGTTTGGTTTTTGATATATTTGTTTGACCATGTTTAACCCACAGGAGTATGATCAAAACACAATATATATGAACGAAAATTTGAACAGAGTTTCGGTATATATAAATGTGGTAAACGATTACGCAAAACAAGAATTAAGGAGTAAAAAATAGAGAATAATCCAAAGCGAGACGTTATCTCTTTCCTTAAGAAAAATTGTCCCGCTACGGTGCTCACAGTGAATGACACTTGTCTCTCAAGATACAATGGATTCACAACTTGTGGTAGCAGCACTTCAAATCACAAGAAACTGACAAACTTTTGACAAAATTTCCACTTTACAAAGGAAATGTAAGAAAATGCTATAGAAATAGAAATGAGAGATTTGCAAGAGGAGAATGAGTGCTCAATGCAATTGATGTACCCAACATGGAACATTTTCTAAGAAATTTCAAATTCATTCTGGTTCTTCTCCAACTTTGTCCAAAGCAATAAACTCAGATTTCATTGTTGATCAAGCTATGCACGTTTGCTTTGTTGATTTCCTTGATACAACAGCTCCACCAATGGTGAATAATAACCACTAGTGAACTTGGAATCCTTCATATCGGATATCTAATTCGCATCACAATATCCTTCTAGTACTGCAGGATATTTTGTGAAGTGTAATCCATAGGTCAAGGTATACTTCAAGTACCTTAGAACACTCGTCAAAGCTTTCTAATGATCATGGCTTGGATTACTTGTAAACCTACTGAATTTATTCACCGTAAAAGTGATATTTGGTCGAGTGTAGTTTGTAATATACATAAGACTGTTAATTATTTGTGAATACCTTAGTTGTGATACGCTTTCTCCCGTATTCTTGACTAAGTACATACTTGGATCTAGAGGAGTTCTCGCAGGACTTTCCTCAAACATGTCAAGCTTTTTACGTATTTTTTCTATGCAGTGAGATTGTGAAAGGACAATAACATCCTACGTTCTAGAGATTTTAATCCCTTGGATTCATCTGCCACACTAATATCTTTCATATTGAAATGCTTTGTTAGCATCTTTTTGGTGTTAAGCAACATTTCGTGACTATTGCCTATTATTAACATATCGTCCACATATAGACATACAATTACATATGCATTCGGTATATGTTTAATATATACACATTTGTCACAATCGTAGATCTTGAATTCATTTGACAACATTGTTTTGTTACACTTTTGGTGCCATTGTTTAGGAGCCTGTTTTAATCTATACAATGATTTAAGAAGTTTACACACTTTGTGTTTTTGGTTAGGAGAAACGAACCATTTCGATTGCTCCATGTAAATCTCCTCTTTTAAGTCACCGTTTAGGAATGCCGTCTTTACATCCATTTGATGAATCTCAAGATTGTGTATTGCCGCGATTGCTATTAACAACCTTATCGACATGATTCTAGTCACAGGTGAGTAGGTATCAAAGAAGTCAAGTCCTTCTTTTTGCCTATATCCTTTAGCAACCAATCTAACCTTATATTTATTGATGGATCTATCAGGTTTCAATTTTTTTTATTGAATATCCATTTGCATTCTAAAGGCTTGTTATAGGTAGGTAAATCAACCAACTTTCACTAATGGTTTTGCATTATAAAATCTATCTCGCTATTAATTGCTTATTTACAATACGGTGCTTCCGGTGTAGCCATTGCTTCATCGGAAGTCTTTGGATCATCCTTTATCATATAGGTTAGAAAATTCGGACCAAATGTCTTAGAAGTCCGAACCCTTTTACTATGTCTTAGTTCTTCCTCATTTAAAGTTTCATTGGTAGTTTCATATGTTCTCTTGTTAGAACACGTGTTTTCCTTATCTTTGCAAGGAAAAATATTTTCAAAGAATGTTACATTCCTTGTTTCGATTATGGTCCCTTCGTCTGCGTCTTGTATTTCGGATTTGTGTACAAGAAATTGATATACACTACTATTATTAGCATATCCAATAAATATGCAATCTATCATTTTAGGATCGATTTTTACTTATTTAGGCTTAGGTATCTCAACCTTAACCAAACATCCCCACACTTTCAAGTATTGGTAGGATGGAGGATGACATTTCCATAGTTCATATGGTGTCTTTTTCATTTTCTTAAGAGGTATTTTATTAAGAAGATTATTTGCCATTAAAATAGCCTTCCTCACATGTTTTGTGGTAATCCCAAACTTATTAACATAGCATTCATCATTTCTTTAAGTGTTTGATTTTTGCGTTTTGCAACACCATTTGATTGAGGAGAGGAA